CTTCTGGAGAGTTACTTGGATGATTGAGCATGCGTCAAGACGGCAAACATTTAGTTTTGCTCACTCAGAAGAATCAAGTTATTCTCAGTACTGTTTACTCACAATGTTGTGCTAACTTAGTTATTTTAAGTTCATTTTTTAAACTTTACTTTTTGCATAATTTCCCCCCCAGTTCTGTGGACAAATTAGATTTCCCTGTGTATGTATGCTCACCACCCAAGACTCTGTAGAGTCTTCAACAGCATCTTGAAGCACATGGCAAAGGCACACTTCATATAATTGAAGGGAATAAAATCTGCTGCCATCTTCATGATGAAACAAAGACGTTTCAGGAAGATTATGACCCAAGACCAGCCAAGAAAACTCTTAAATGGTTTCAGAGGAATAAAAAATAAAGTTGCGCGAATGGCCCAGCCAATCGCCTGACCTGAATCCAACTGAAAATCTATAAAAAGAACAAAAAAGAAAGTTTTTCCCCTCTCGCACCTGCAGGTGATTTGGGTCCTCTACCAGAGGCCTGGGAGCTTGAGGGTCCTGCAGTATCTTAGCTGTTCCTAGCACTGCGCTCTTCTGGACAGAGATCTCTGATGTTGTTCCTGGGATCTGCTGGAGCCACTCGCCTAGCTTGGGAGTCACCGCACCTAGTGCTCCGATTAAGTTGAAAGTTGAAAGCCTTTGTCATTATACATAGTATAACGAAATTAGAAACGGCTCTATAAAAGTGCACACGTGCTTATAGCACATTATAAAGACTATACAATAATTTAAATATACACTTACTATAAATATAAATACACAGTACAGTACTGACAGAGACAGACCGGCAGAGAGTTGATGATATTTCAGTGCAGATTGCTTTTTGTACAAGTTTGAGGTGAGTACGGTGATGGCTTTGGGGAAGAAGCTGTCCCTGAGTCTGTTTGTTCTGGCCCTTATGGATCTATAGCGCCTGCCAGAGGGCATGAGGTTGAAAAGATGGCAGCCGGGGTGGGTAGTGTCCTTTAAAATCTTTCTGGACCTACTAAGACAACGGGAGTTGTAGACAGCAGACCAATGGTAAATGGCCTGTATTTGTATAGCGCTTTACACATCCAGTCATTCACCCATCCACACACACATTCACACACTGGTGATGGCAGCTACATTGTAGCCACAGCCACCCTGGGGCGCACTGACAGAGGCGAGGCCGCTGGACACTGGCGCCCCCGGGACCTCTGACCACCACCAGTAGGCAACGGGTGAAGTGTCTTGCCCAAGGACACAACGACCGAGACTGTCGGAGCCGGGGCTCGAACCGGCAACCTTCCGATTACAAGGCGAACTCCCAACTCTTGAGCCACGATCGCCCACACATGGGCAGCCGATGATTTTTTGTGCTGTGTTTACCACCCTCTGCAGCTGGCGTGCCACACTGTCACTGCACAGGTCAGCAGGCTCTTGATGGTGGATCTGTAGAAGGTCACCAGCAGCAGGGTGTTTAGTTGCTCCTTCCTGAGCACCCTTAGGAACTGTAGCCGCTGCTGGGCTTTCTTGACTAGGGCCGTGGTGTTAGCTAACCAGGAGAGGTCTGCAGAGATGTGGAAGCCAAGGAATTTGAAGGACTCCACTCGCTCTACACATTCTCTGTTGATGTGCAGGCGGGCAGGGGTAGTTCTGTTCTGCCTGAAGTCCAGGATGAGTTCCTTGGTCTTGGAGATGTTAAATGAGAGGTTGTTTAATGCACACTATTCTCCAAGTTTCAGGACCTAATCTCTGTAAGCCGCTTCATTTCCTCCTGTGATCAGCCCCATCACTGCTGTGTCATCAGCAAATTTGACAATGATGTTCTCTGGGTGGGCGGGACTGCAGTCATATGTGTAGAGGGAGTAGAGTAGTGGGCTTAGTACACAGCCCTGGGGGGAGCTGGTGCTGAGAGTGTGAGGGGAAGAGAGGTGAGGACCCAGTTTCACCCGCTGGGGTCTGTTGACCAGGAAGTCCTTTATCCAAGAGCAGGTGGATGGCGGGAGCCCCAGGCTGGCTGACTTGGTGATCAAAATGTCTGGAATGATTGTATTAAAGGCAGAGCTGAAGTCGATGAAGAGCATTCTGACATAGTTCCCCTGTTGTTCCAGGTGGCTCGGTGCTGTGTGGAGTGCGATGGCTATGGCCTCCTCAGTGTCCGGTATGTGAATTGGTGTGGGTCCAGAGTAGGGGGGGGGAGGCAGGTTCTGATCATATTTCATTTAGTTGAACTTGAAATGTTTGTCAGTAAGTAAACAATTAGTATTGTACAGTCAGAAATATCAAGTTATTCTTAATACTGCAGACTTGCACTGTATAAGTCGTCCTAACAGTCATCTTAAGTAAGCTTTACTTTTTTGAGGCAACGAGTTTCCTTAATTTTTTTGAGTTCTGGGAACTAACAAGGCTGTACAGTGTACTCAAAATGAGTAAGTTGCCCTAACTTGGTCATCTTACGTAAACTTGATCCAATTTTTTTGAGTTCTGGGAACAAATGAGCTTGTACAGAGTACTCAAAATAAATAAGTTGTCCTAATTTAGTCATTTTTAGCTAAGCTTTACTCAATTTTTTTGAGTCAACGAGTTTCCCCAATTTTTTTGAGTTCTGGGAACTAATTAGATTTTACAGTGTGGGGTCTGACCCCAGCCTCTATGGATCTTGTGCTCAGAGCTTGTTCCTGTGCTGCCATGATTAGTGCCACTGTGCTGTCTTTCAGTCCAGCTTTGTCCAGCCACTGGAAGGATTTCTGCTTAGCGTACAGCCTCAGGGTGCTGGACTTAGGGTGAAACCCTCCATGCATGGTCAGGAGCTTCCTGGTCTTGATGTTGGTGGCTTCTATCTCCTCCTTTGTCCATCTTATTATCCCAGCAGGGGTGTGTTTCTTTGGAAAGGTATTTTATGTTCTCAAATGCCCCATCCATAGACATCCATAGACACTGGAATGCTTGATTTAGACCTCTATGTAGTAGCTTACGATGTAACCTGAAACCCCTTTTAACTCGATGCCATAATCTTCCAACCCATTCAAGCATTATGGCACCAACATCAGGAAAAATGTTCATGAGAAAATAGAGAAGTACCATGGGAAACAGCAGTCCCAGTGGTAAAGGAGCTGTAACCCACAAACTGGAAGAGTGGGTCCTGCAGATACCAGGTACAACATCAGACTCTAACCAGTCCTACGATACAGCGGCGCTCTGTTAAGACAAGGAAGGCAAGGACTGACTGCCTAATCAAATCTAAAAATAGTCATAAACTAAAATGTACTACAGTAAAAATGATGTCTCACCTTTCATTTCAGCATCATAAAGCTCCTTGTCTGTTTGTATCTATCCTTTACATACCTGCCATCTTGTGGCTGCAGATGGCTATTGTCACTGGAAGCATTCACAAGAAACCTGATTGGTTCTTGCCATAATATGAATTCTAACAGTTGTTAAATAGGGCCGCCAGCTGTGTACCAACCTGACTTCTGCACTGATGATCCCAAATCCCATGAAGAAGGCAAGAAATTCCAGAGATGAACCCTGACAAGGCAAACCTGTGGGGTGAAACCATTTCAGGTGACAACGTCATGAAGCTCAGTGAGAAAAGTGCAAGGGTTTGCACTGTCAACAAAGCAAAGCGTGGCTCCTTTCAGGAATCTCAAATATAAAACACATTTAGAGTTACTGATCATTTTTTTCTACTATATTCCCCATTTGTTGTGGATTATGGAGTTGAAGCAGCAGCTGCAGAATGCTTTGACAAAAGTTGACATATTTCAGTTACTTCATTTCAAACCCTATTTACAGGAATATCATGATCAAAATCAGAGTTCAGAACAAGCAGGCAGTCTTTAAATAACAGAAGGGCTCATAAGCACATCGAACTAAGTAAAAAGCATGTGAAATAGCAGCAGCAGGCCAGAACAACAACCTCTAACAACAAAAGACAGAGGAGGGAAGACGCAGTAAGAAATGCTTTTTCTAAGAGAGTACATCACACGTGCACCATTAAAATGCATAGTTTATGTAAATGCTGTTAAGATGAATGGAAAATGGGTAAAAATAAATGGTCAGAAAATAGAGCTCAAACTATTTCTCTCGTGTGTTGTTATGTGTTCAGAAGCGATTGTCCGTTCTTATTTAATTCACTTAATGTACAGACTTTACCTGCTTGCTGCATACATGCTACTACTGCACATCCACCTAATGTATATGTTATATTATATAATGTCCCCCCCCCTTTTGCTCAAGTCAAGGAGCGTGTCAGGTTACATTTGATTGTGTGTTATAACTATGCATGTGACGAATAAAGACCCTTGAACCTGAAACATGTGGCAGGATAATGTTTTTAAGTTTGATAGCTGTCCTTAAGTGATGTCACCTGAGTCAGGGTCAGCTGCCCTTTGAGTTATTAAAAGTGCAAATTGGTTGGTGTACATTTACACTGCTCAAATCTGCTGCATGCTAAAGGCTACCTCCATCACTGACTGCCCTGTTGGAGGTTGTGTTCAACTGCAGTAAACTTAGGCTTTGATAAAAAATAATAATAATGTCATTTATTCTCCTTCTTCATAGATTTTTATCCTTATTTTTAAACAGTGTGTGCTTGCAGACTGTCACCTATGGGACGGCAATAAGAGAAATTAACCAGGAAGGTGAAATAATAAAACCACTTAATAAAGCCACTACTCCACTTTTTGTCTGTATAAAGAGAAACTTAGTTTAAAAGCTACGGTGGGTTTGGGGTGAAACTGGTCAAACTGAAATTAAAATATTATCAAAATGATATTAAAAATGATCTCTTTAATTTTAACTTCCCCAAACCACTTTCATTTTCTAGTGTGGTGTCTGTGATGCCTGGGATAGATTAGTATTGCTGTAAAGTACGAATGTAAAAGTAATACAGAGATCCATACATACATTTAAAACACTGATATCTGTAAATACAAGCATGTCAAATTATCAGTCAGTTAATGTCTGCGTGATTATTATTATTATTTATTATTGTTGTTTTTGTTAATAATTGATTTTGGCAACTTCAGTCCTTCACAGATGGAACCAGTTTTCTGGTCATAACTCACAATATGACCGGATGACTGGTGGACAGGTAAATAAATATGCCTCCTAATTAAAATAGCACTCGTAATTAGCACCGCTGCTACCTGAAACCAGCAGCACATTTCTAATCTCACACTCAGACAGGAGTACAGGGCGAGGATGCGAGTGCTTGTGGAAAGGTTGTACACACACTCTGTTTAGTCTAATAAAACCTCAGTTTTTTCTTTCATTGTGCACCTTTAAACAGCTAACAGTGCCCATGTAACCTGCAGCAAGGCAGCTATCAAAAATGTTGTCCTGCCCCCCAGGGCTCCGTTTCGGCATGTGCATTTTGTCCAGATGTGTGAACCTCTGTCCAGCACCTCTTTGTGTTTAGTTCCGTCTCTGACCCGCTTTCTTTTTATCAGTTCTTCCTCCTCTCCCCGATATCTCCAACTCTCCCTGAGCTCCTCTCTTCCTCCAGGTGATGACAGTGAAAAGGAGAGGTCCTGCATCCCAGGTGAGGATGAGTCAGTGCAGCCCAGCCAGTCTGCAGCAGAGGATCGTGGGTATCCATCATGCAGTGATGAACCTGGAAACATGAACTTCCAGTAGGACTCTCCTTTAAAGAGATAGACAGAGCCTGGAGAGAAATAAAAGAAACTTCACTGAATTTAGTCTGGTTCTAGTTAAATTAAGTCAACTTTGTCCGTTTATTTGATCCTTTAATAGAAAGATCTCACACATGAATCAGATCCTCACCATTAGTGTCTGTAGTGATTCCATTCACACCCTCTTTGAGCAGTTGTGTCCAGGTGTCTCCTTGATTCTCTTGTTTGGCATCTCCAATTTTTCCCCACACAGCCCCCTCCTCCGGGTCCCAGACCAGGCCCCATCTCTCTAATGCTCCTGCTGCCTGCTCGTCATCATCGTCGTTATCAGTGTCTGCTAAATCTAAGCTGACGCCCGTCCTGAGAGCAGACAGGGGCTGAGGGTAACCTTCTTGCAGAGACAGGTCCTTGAAGAGCCAGAACTGGTGACCTGCAGCGAGACGTCACATGAAAAGGTTAGTAAGCCAGTTCGATGATTCGCAGTGAAACACCATCGATTGTTTCAAAAAGGTTTAAGCTTGTCCACTGTGACTGCTTTGATGTATTATTTTGTATTTACACTCTCACTTTATCATTGCATGCATGTTCTAGGCAGTGGATGTCTGTTGCCAAAGAAATAAGAAGGAAAGGTTTAAAAACCTGAAGCCACATCCAAGGCCAGATAAAGTTTAATAATTGGACACATCAGTTTTGATGCTGGAGAATTTAGTCCTTAACTATGCTAAAAGTATTTTGGTTATAGAGAATGTAATCTACAGCCAAACTGTAGGAGATGTTCAAAGAAGCTATAGGACAGGTGCATGTAGGTCTTCTGAAAGTAGCAGGAAGTAAGTAATAATCTCATAAATCTCAACAAGTTCTGCTTTCTGAAGACATCACTATCTCTCAAACGTATCACTGCTTGCTTGAAAAGTAATTCAGGAATGGCTATAGGCAAATTCTATGAAAAAGACAATTTTGAAGAACACATTCAGTGTACTTCAGTGTGCAAAATGTAAAGGCTAGAAGAGATATGAGCTAAAAAAAAACTCACGTCAATCAATTGTTACAGAAATAAAGAAATAAGGAATCTTCTTAGATTTTTTAAACAGTTTCAGTAACGATTTTAATAGCCAGTTATGGTGCGTAATCTGCACTGACTGTTGTGGCCTTTACACCGTTTTACCCCTCTCACAAGTAGGTTACTGTACTGCACCACTGATAAAGATGATCGCATGATCCGAGCGCCTCTCCAGCACAGCTTGAAGATGAAGCAGGTCAGGGGGTAGACCCCTCCACAACCTCCTCACTGAAGAACCGCGCCCCGACACCAAGCCTCCGCCATTGACCCTCCACATCATCGGACCTGAAGCGATGACCCAATGAAAATAATGAATTGTGGTATCCTGTTACTATAGATACATCTTCCATAGTTAAACTACATAAACTACATTTATAAAAATCTGTTTTCAGACCTTTGAAGAAGAAAGTTTCTCCTCGAATCTTTGCCACAGCATCAAAACTGGTGTTACAGTGATCTATGGAGGGGCTGAAGGGCAGAAGCACACAGGGATACTTGTTAAAGGAATGTCGGGGTTTCATTTGGTTAACAGTAGTAGACAGCACAGCCATACTCTTTGTCCTGAGACAGGGGCGAATTTAGCCCAAAAATGGGCTAAAATCGCCCCATGAATCAACTGACATGTCAGTGCGCCCCAGGGTGGCTGTGGCTACAATGTAGCTGCCATCACCAGTGTGTGAATGTGTGTGTGACTGGGTGAATGACTGGATGTGTAAAGCGCTTTAGTATAGCGCTTTACACATCCAGTAAAGTGCTATACAAATACAGGCCATTTACCATTTTTTGTACAGACAGACAGCCAGGTTCATAATGGATATAAGGAAGTTTTTTTATTATTTTTTTTAAAAGGAGCCACATTCAGGTAAAAGTGTAAAATCAAATGATCCGTCAATCAAGAATAATGTTGGATCAGTGTTTCAATATTTATCTTTTATTAGATGTTTGTGTGGTTTGGTTATTTTCCTTTTGGTTGAAAGTACACTGAGAGAGGACTTTTTGTTAGTGATCTTAATAGTATTTTTTTCATATTAATGTAATTTATCATCTAATTGAATACAATATATTTGTGTATGATTGTCAGTCCAAAGAGGGAGAGAGGAAAGAGGGAACGTGAGGAGAAAGAACAAGGTCAGGAAGAACCAGGTAAGCAAACAGACAGGGAGCAGTGACAGGCACAACAGCAACTGTTAAACTGACAAAGAGGAAAAAACCTGATTTTACTCACAGTCTGGAAGTTGTGTTCTCCCTATATTAAAGCTGCTGTACAGAATCTGCTAAACAAACTGGTTTGAAACATTTCTGAGCCTCTTTAACAACATTCCAACATAACATTATCATTGATCGGGGAGATTAAAATTAATGATATATTTTTATGTGGTTCAGCCACAACTCTACTAAAACCTCAGCCAGTAATAGGGAGGCCAACCTTTGGACCGTCCAGTTGTCTGTATGACTGCCGCATGTACGTGCATCACATTTGCACACTATCAGAAAGAGCCAAACAGCCCTGGTGGAGCGAGCAGCTGTAAAGAGAAGCAGATGCTCTGTTTCTACAAATGTTTTAAGCTTGTTTCAAAGATTCTGTACAGCAGCTTTAAATGTTTTCCAAAAGCACACACACACTTATCAGTGTTTCTCACACTTTTTACAGTGTGGACCACCTGATAAAAATGTCAAGCTCTCCCAAGGACCACTATGAAAGCATGAAAGTCATAAATCTTACAACACAAAATTATTATTATTAAATTAGTAAAATTAGTGTCTGCAGTAAAGATTTTTATTTGTAACAATTTATTCTGTTTTGGGAGTGTTTTTCATGTATCTGTATTATATTATACACATACACATTCAAAGTGAATCTCTGTCCAAAAAATGCACTCAGTTCACTTTTTACTCACTATGAGCATCATTCATTATTAATAAACCAGTAATTAAGGCTAGGATACGTATTTTTATTATTCCAATCCATTCTTCTTTAGCAGCATTTAAATAACCTTTATCAGATTTGACGGTTTTGTTACAGACTTTGCAAAAAAGTGTTTTGCTTTTCTTTCACAAATGTGGGGATTAAATTGTGCTAAAATGTACAAAACAGTGACGTCATGTTTTGAGACGAGGACCCAGGCACAGAGTGACTTGATGAATTTCAGAATCTTATGATTTATCTTGGCTGGCTGGGCAGCTCTCTGGGTGCTCAGCACCCCCAAAGCTCTGATCCTAGACTCGCCGCTGTCCTCAGATGGTAACGAATGTCTGTCTGTTGTAGCTGTTTCAGGCGGAACTTGCTAGCATTAGCTGTTAACTTAGCACTGTAAACATTTTCCTGTTTACAAAATCTATCTATTGTTTATCTAGCTTGTTTATGTAAATATCTTTGGTGGCTGAAATTAAATTTAAAATCTTAATACTGATATTAGATGATTTTGCAAAAATATGGAAGAAAAGAGGCACACAGTAAGAATTCTTGTAGCCATCTAGCATATTGCCAGAAAATGCTGAGGATTTTCTATGAGTCTGTGGTGGCCAGTGCGATCCTCTATGCTGTTGCATGCTGGGGGAGCAGGCTGAGGGTCGCAGATGCCAACAGACTTAATAAACTGATCCGTAAGGCCAGCAATGTTGTGGGGATGGAGCTGGACTCCCTCAAGGTGGTGTCGGAGAGGCGGATGCTGTCCAAGATAAAGACAATGTTGGATAACACCTCCCACCCACTCCATGACATGTTGGTCAGTCACAGGAGCTCGTTCAGTGAGAGACTGAGATTACCGAAAAGCACCACTGAACGACACAGGAAATCATTCCTGCCTGTGGCCATCTCCCTGTACAACGCATCCACTTAACACACTGTTTGCTGCTACAACTACACGTTTCTTTTCCAAATATTTATTTATAAGTGACTTATGTATGTATGTATGTATATATATGTATATATTGTACTATTCTTAGTTAGCGTATTGTCTGTCTTGTCTTAATGTTGGTTTAAAATGGAGCACTGTAACAAAAAATAATTTCCCCCAGGGATCAATAAAGTATTCTGATTCTGATTCTGATTCTGATTATTTATGACAAAGAGTTTTTGTCTCCTTCTGTCCGTGTGAACGTCCCTTCCCCCGTTTGGCTTTTATGGGATCTAGACCTTCTGCTGCCCTGCTCCTCGCCTCTGGAATTCCATCTCGCCAGACATTCAGAACTCTGACTCTCTCCATCTTCACATCCCGTCTCAAAACACACTCCTTTAAATGGGTTTAATTACTCATCCTGTCACATGAATCCTCTGCTTTTTATTTTTTTTATAGTCTTATGATTTTATTTATTCTTAAATGTATTATTATTAATAATGATAATATTAATATGATTGTTATTAACAGAAAAATCTCTCAGTAAGTCATACCCATGCCTATGATGATGCTGACGACGATGATGATGATGGCCTCTGTGGTGCAACTCTGTGGTGATACGAGGAGCCTCCGTAGACAGCAGCTTGTTCATTTGGCCTAAATCAAAAATCACAACAATTTAAATGGAAAAGCTTTAAAAAAAACTAAATTCCCCCTCCACCCCTGTGGAGAAGAGAAGCTGTGAAGAGAAACTTCAAGCTGCAGGAAGAGAGCCATCAGTAAGATTTCAGGATAAGACAAACCCATAAATCTTACAACACAAAATTATTATTATTAAATTAGTAAAATTAGTGTCTGCAGTAAAGATTTTTATTTGTAACAATTTATTCTGTTTTGGGAGTGTTTTTCATGTATCTGTATTATATTATACAAACACATTAAAAGTGAATCTCTTTTTACTCACTATGAGCATCATTCATTATTAATAAACCAGTAATTAAGGCTAGGATACGTATTTTTATTATTCCAATCCATTCTTCTTTTGCAGCATTTAAATAACCTTTATCAGATTTGACAGTTTTGTTACAGACTTTTCAAAAAAGTGTTTTTCTTTTCTTTCACAAATGTGGGGATTAAATTGTGCTAAAATGTACAAAACAGTGATGTCATGTTTTGACTACCGAAGACATCACAAGATGGTGATGGCCAGCACAGTCTCCAGACTTAAACCCCATTTAACTGGACATAAACGTAGATTCTCAATGGAAAAATTTAGCCAATGCAGAAATGCCTCAAATCTGCTTCTATCTAAAGGGCAGCAGCCAGTGATAGATATAAAAAGTCTTGCAGCACTATATGGGTCCATAGGAAAACGTCATTCCTGACCTCTGCAAACACTTCCCTGCTGAGTTCACGGTGATCCATTTTGGGTTATACTGACTGGTTCTTCAATGCTCCTTCTGCGGTTGGCTCCATGCACCACTAAAGGGGCCCACCTGACAGTCTAAGAACCACTGCTGTCATATGCTGTGGGAGTGTCTGGTTGGGCGTGGTCCAGGTTCCTGTCATTTGTCCCTGGGAGTGGAGTTGGCCAGCTCATCACCTGTTGTCAATCTCCGGGGCTCCACCTAGAGGGTTTTTAAGCCAGCACGGCCTGCCACTCCTCGCCAGTTCGTCCTGCTACCATCTGTGATTCTCCACCCATCGCACTCACCAGTAGTGCTGTTTTGGTCTCCATCCTGTTCTCCCGTCTGCTCGGAACCCGAGGATTATATACTCCACTTCTCCTCAGCCTGCCCTTCAGTCTGTATTCTCCACCTCCTCGGAATCTGGACCGGACTCTCCACTCTTGACCCTCTCTGGAATACACCCATGGCAGCCTTTTCCCCGCCTAATAACTAGGGTCTCCAAGTAAGCCCAAGACTATCCACTGGCACTCCGTACCTCTGTCCCTTACTCGTTTTTTCCCATTCAGTAACATCTCTCTCCTGTGTTTACAGAAGTTCCCGTTAGAAGTTTCCCCGTGCTCTACGCCGGTTTCTCCGCCCACGGATTTCCTTTAGTTTCTGCGTATGGTTTCTGTTAAACCCAGTTCCGTTCAAGTTTTGTTCTTTTCAATAAATTATACACAGTTCTAAGCAAATTGAGTCTGCTCTTGAGTCCACCGCATTCTCGCCCTTGACAGAACGAACTGGCCATTAAGTTGGCTTTGGAGGAGTGGCGCCACTGGCTGGAGGGGACGGAACATCCATTTATCATCTGGACAGATCACAAGAATCTGACTTATCTCAGAACGGCTAAGAGACTGAACTCCCGCCAGGCTCGGTGGTCCCTTTTCTTTGCCCGATTTAACTTTGATATTTCCTATCGCCCGGGTTCCAGGAATCTTAAACCCGATGCTCTGTCTCGCCAGTACTCCTCGGACTCGGACTCCCGGGACCCGGAGCTCATTCTCCCTTCCACCTGCAGGATTGGCTCCCTCACCTGGGATGTGGAGGAGGCTATACGCCAAGGACTACGGGACGACGTTGATCCGGGAACTGGCCCGCCCGGTCGGCGTTTTGTGCCCTCTGCCGCCCGGTCGGCTGTTATCCATTGGATCCATACAGCCCAGTTTACTTGCCATCCGGGAGTGAGTAGGACCACGGCTCTGTTGAAGAGGTATTTCTGGTGGCGTTCTATGGACAAGGATGTGAAGGCTTATGTGGCTGCCTGTTCCGTTTGTGCCCGTAACAAGACCTCTAATCGGCCCCCGTCTGGCTTACTCCGACCGCTGAGTACCCCGCATAGGCCTTGGTCTCATATCGCCTTGGATTTTGTTACCGGCCTCCCAGCCTCTTCGGGGAAGACGGTGGTTCTGTCCATAGTTGATCGGTTTTCCAAGGCGGCTCACTTCGTGGCCCTGGACAAGCTGCCGACGGCTGCAGAGACCACCCAGATCCTTACAGACCATGTGTTCCGTCTTCATGGCATACCCTCGGAGATTGTGTCTGACAGGGGGCCTCAGTTTGTCTCCCGAGTGTGGAGGGCCTTCTGTACGGCCCTGGGTGCCAAGGCCAACTTGAGTTCTGGTTTCCATCCGCAGACCAATGGCCAGACTGAGCGTTTGAACCAGGAGTTGGAATCCGCTCTTCGCTGCGTCTCGTCACTGCACCCGGCTGCCTGGTCGTCTCAGTTGCCTTGGGTGGAGTATGCCCATAATTCTCTCACGTCTTCGGCAACGGGTTTGTCGCCCTTTGAGGCCTCGCTGGGGTATCAGCCACCGTTGTTCCCAGAGGATGAGACGAATTTGGCTGTTCCTTCGGTCCAGCATCACCTTCGACGCTGCCGGCGGGTGTGGCGGAGGGTCCGACGGGCTCTCCTTGCAACTGTCGACCGGCAATGGGATTATGCGGATCGTCGCCGCTCTGTCGCTCCGGCGTATCGGCCTGGACAACGGGTGTGGCTTTGTGCTAAGGACATTCACTTGCGGTCGCTTTCTCGGAAGTTGACTCCCCGCTATGTTGGCCCCTATGTGATCACTGCTGTCGTCGGCCCCTCGGCGGTCCGTCTCAGGCTCCCGGCCTCCTGGCGCGTCCACCCGACGTTTCACGTCTCTCAGGTCAAGCCGGTCCGTAGCAGTCCTCTGTGTCCGCCGTCTGTTCCCCCGCCTCCCGCCCGGCTCGTGGACGGTCATCCGGCCTATTCGGTCCGGCGGATCGTTGACGTGCGCCGCCGTGGTCGTGGTGTCCAGTACCTGGTGGACTGGGAGGGGTATGGGCCTGAGGAGCGTTCTTGGGTTCCCCGGTCGCTCATTCTGGACCCGTCCCTGATTGCTGCGTTTCGTTCCTCCCCTCGCAGGGCCCGGTCTGGGGGGTCGCCGGGTGGCGGCCCTTGAGGGGGAGGTACTGTCATATGCTGTGGGAGTGTCTGGTTGGGCGTGGTCCAGGTTCCTGTCATTTGTCCCTGGGAGTGGAGTTGGCCAGCTCATCACCTGTTGTCAATCTCCGGGGCTCCACCTAGAGGGTTTTTAAGCCAGCACGGCCTGCCACTCCTCGCCAGTTCGTTCTGCTACCATCTGTGATTCTCCACCCATCGCACTCACCAGTAGTGCTGTTTTGGTCTCCATCCTGTTCTCCCGTCTGCTCGGAACCCGAGGATTATATACTCCACTTCTCCTCAGCCTGCCCTTCAGTCTGTATTCTCCACCTCCTCGGAATCTGGACCGGACTCTCCACTCTTGACCCTCTCTGGAATACACCCATGGCAGCCTTTTCCCCGCCTAATAACTAGGGTCTCCAAGTAAGCCCAAGACTATCCACTGGCACTCCGTACCTCTGTCCCTTACTCGTTTTTTCCCATTCAGTAACATCTCTCTCCTGTGTTTACAGAAGTTCCCGTTAGAAGTTTCCCCGTGCTCTACGCCGGTTTCTCCGCCCACGGATTTCCTTTAGTTTCTGCGTATGGTTTCTGTTAAACCCAGTTCCGTTCACGTTTTGTTCTTTTCAATAAATTATACACAGTTCTAAGCAAATTGAGTCTGCTCTTGAGTCCACCGCATTCTCGCCCTTGACAACTGCAGGTTGGTGGGACACAGCCAGAGCTACTGTCACTTCCAGTGTGTCACACATGCTTGGATAAGCCCAGCCTACTGTGATGATTACTCATTTAGCTTCATTTTAGAAGGTTAGTACAACACAGTTCAATGTCCCAAACTATTGCCACAGTATTTGGTAACCAAGTATTTTACAGAAAGGCTTGTTTCCTCTCCAGCGTGCTTCATATTGTGAAATTATTCATTTATAAACTACTTGTCAGACGATAGTTTTGCATTTCACTTAAAACCACAGAAACAATTTCATATCATATCTGTGGCAAAGATATTCAAGTTTAACTTCTAGGAGCCACAGACCTTAGTATAAAATGTTGTGCCAATGAATAATATATTTTACATGTTCATTAGTTTAAGTACCAAACATTAAAAAATGGATTGTGGTTAGTAAATTTTCACAATGACAAATTGTTAAACCCGAGATGCAAATATAGTTAATGAACCTGGAACGACACTGAGTGGAAGGATGTATTTTTTGGAACATGTGGGCAGAAGCTTGAATATCCACAGACACAGCGGTTTGCCTGTCAAGCATTCATGACATTATGCAAAAGCAAAATGAACTGAAAAAAGTTAAGAATGGTTTCTGAGCAACAGCGCAGTCAGACATTTCCTCGTTTTTATATTTTACAGTATGAGGCTTTCATGAGAGTCTTCGCTGAATGTGGAGGCTAAAGCTGTGAAGAAACTAATTCTGTCCTTCCTCAATAAACACACCAGAGGTCAGACCAGGGAGCTATTTCACAGCTGTCCTCATCCATCCTTTAAACTGCACTTCAGTGTTTATCCTTTTACATCAAACTTTATATTATCCTATGTGTGCTAATACTGAAATTTTACATTCAGTCTAGTTTACACATCCTCACACATCAACTATAATCAATATTAATGATTAAATCATGGTGTGAGAAGCTTCACCATAGAGCTGAGTGATGTGCTCCAGGTCTTGGGGTCCCAGGCGGTAGTGGAGAGGGTCTCCGACAGGACCCAGGTAGTATGGCCTCATGACTGAGTGACGGGATGAGGAATGAGGAAGGCCCAGTGCGTGGCCAAACTCATGAACCAGCACTGTGAACAGGTCGGTACCCTCAGAGACTGGGAAGGAAACAGAAGAGGAGGAACAGAAAACAAAATGATGACCTGATTAGAAGAAGAAGAGAAAAGAGTCATGGTTTACTGGTATCCGGTTGTTCAGTCTGACGTCACTAGCCGAGTCTGGACCTAAACTCCGATGCAGGTCCATATATCAAACGATCACTGTGGCATTACTGAGAGTTGAAAAACTGTCTAAAGTCTTTCATCTTCAATAAAATGATCAGCATTCTGCTCTACCAGGTGTAACAACTGAGTTTAACATCCAGGCATCCATGAAAACGGAATTTATGACATTTAACGGAGTTAGAAGTTAGCACGGAGTTAGCTCGCTAGCTTCTATCTAAATACAATATAACATGTCCTGACTGCGGGGTTTTGGAAACAAATTAAAACGTACAGCTCTGCTATCACTTCCAACATAAATGAAGACAGAAAACTAAACAGCAGTGACGTTTGTAGGGTTACTGAAGTTGGGCTAGCTGGTATATAATGATGTGCTATGTGACCGCTAGCGACACAGCTATGTTAGCATAATATAAACAAGCTAACTTTTTTTCCACTCAATAAAAGTTAGCGTGAGTGTTCTCGGTGGTCAGGAACAAATGTAATCGCATGGCAGGATGCTGTAAAAGGACCAAACTTCAGCCAGGAGAACAACTGAGATAATCCATCCACAATACGAGGTTAGTCATTCATATACTGCTGCATGGGCTGGGCTGTAGTTACATCCTAAGGTTTTAAAAACTGAGCTTAAATAAATGATTAGCGGTAATAAAAGCCGAGGGAGGTCAACAGTGATCACTGACTGTTTTAGGAGCTTTTTGAGATTAAATAGAAGAAAATACAAAACATTAAACATGTTAACAACACAAAAGCCATATTAAACGCAGACTACTTTAGACCCGGAAGTAGGATTCGTCGCGTCATCACTGAACAACCGGATAGTATGGCCATAGAGTGTATGGAGGTAGCATTGTGGTCCAAAGCTCACTGGTTTTGGACTCAGTGTTATTGTTTTGTCCACTGCCATTTGGCAACTTTGGAGCAAGAAAGGACCATAACTGAGTTACCGCCTAGCACTGTCAAGCTTGGTCACCAAGCTGCATTAATCTACACCATGTGAAGACACAAGACAAAAGACTGCTTCACTGAGTGAATGGGTCAAATGCAGAGAAAAACAAGTAATTTCCCCATGGGGATCAATAAAGTATCCATTATTATTATTATTATTATTATTATTAAAAGACTCATAAAAGGTTAGACTTTTATGTTTTTGAAGTGTTGTTCTACCTGGCTGTCTGAATGCCCACTCTTCCTCCGCATCCAAATGAACTACTCCTGCCCGGGCTGGGTCTGAGGGGAAGAAAGCGTGGCCTACTGCTCCACCTGCCCCATCAAAGGGGTAGTCATCACCATGGTAACCATGGAAGAAGTCTACCCGCAGGTCAGCTGCATCCGGACTGCCCACCTGGAAACAGAATGAATGAAACTCATCGACTGTGTGACTTTGGCTAGTTCTAGTCAAAAGTGGCATCTGACAAACCTCATGGAACTCCAGTGGCGTTGGCTCGGCCCACACTCTTAAAGCGTAGAAGATAAGTGAGCGAATTGTTTCCCGAGACAGATGAGAAGAGGAGGGATATGATTGCAACCTGACGAGGTAAGATAGACGCAAAGACCTCACCGAGTGGCAGATACTTCACCAAGCACAGCTTACTGACAATAGGAAGCCATTGTGAACTACTACATCGAACTGATCACAGTCTCCTCGCAAGTTTTATCCCACCTCCAGTTGATGTTCCTGCGCGTCCACATGGAGACAGCCCATCTTCTCCGCCTCCTCATATTTATTTTCTCTTGGTTGGATGATTCCTCCTGGTCCGGTAGTGAGCAGCGTGGCGTGTTCATCACCGCCATTGTCTCCTCATCTGGACACCAGAGAACAGACTCTATCCAATCACACAGAGAACACTAGATTTGAGAAGCAGCATAAACATCTTTTTAAGACACCATCTGTATTCCTCACCTACAACTCCGCTGTCTTTTAGGCCTGCAAACCTTTGCATGGCCCTCACAGCACTGGTGACACCTGTCCAAGCCTGCAGCTGACCGGTGGAAGGGTCTGAGGGTGGGAGGTAACCATACTTCATCAGCCAATCCTAACAAAGGGGGTAAATGATCTCTTTAACAGGGTGTTCTTCTTCCATTTCTATCCTGCAGTCCTGTATCTATATTATATATAAAGCTCACTACCAATGTAATATATGAGAGAGTTGGTAAAGATATTATTAATTTCCCATCAATAGTTGTATGGTTTCTATTACCACAAGTTTGGAGCTCTCATCTTGAGTGGGTGTCACTGGTGCAGAGGATGGTGACAGAGTCACACTAGCAGCACAAGTTGTTTGCATCCATCCACAGCTCAAGCAGAGGAAAGTCATATACATCTTCATCTTGATTACATGTTTTTGGAACTGAATATTCAGTGGAAAGCAGTATTTTCAGTGTGTGGAAATCCACTGGAAATGAAGCAAAGGCATTTTAAAACATTAAAGACAACGATACAGACAGGGCAGCAAAAAACCCTAAAGCCCGACATTTAAAGAGTTTTCCTTAAGTTATCCAAAGTAAACAAAAATATTTTAACATTTTGCACAGTGGTACAGAGGGTGGCTTGACACGGACACAAGGTCGGGTGCAGTGGTTAGTTCTGTCGCCTCACAGCAGTCACAGAAGTTTGCATTCTTTGCAGTTATTAAAATAGAAAAAACACTATATTCTCTTAAAAGGCCGCAATTCATTTGTGTCCTCTGTGAAGGACATGAACCTCTACATCAACCAGAATCTATGCAATCTGAGTCCTACTGTGGTGTCGAGGGGACACGCTGGGCTTTTATTGATGCCACATTTTGGGGGATTGGGCTAGTAGAGTAATAACAGAGTTCTTTTCCAAATGAAAAGGCACTGGAGGTCCCACATTTCAGATTAAGTGATATGATATCCGGTTGTTCAGTCTGACGTCACTAGCCGTGTCTGGGTCTAAACTCCGCTGCAGGTCCATATATCAAACGATCACTGTGGCATTACTGAGAGTTGAAAAACTGTCTAAAGCCTTTCATCTTTAATAAAATGATCAGCGTTCTGCTCTACCAGGTGTAACAATTGAGTTTAACATCCAGGCATCCATGAAAACGGAATTTATGACATTTAACGGAGTTAGAAGTTAGCAGGGAGTTAGCTCGCTAGCTTCTATCTAAATACAATATAACATGTCCTGACTGCGGGGTTTTGGAAACAAATTAAAACGTACAGCTCTGCTATCACTTCCAGCATAAATGAAGACAGAAAACTAAACAGCAGTGACGTTTGTAGGGTTACTGAAGTTTGGCTAGCTGGTATATAATGATGTGCTACGTGACCGCTAGCGACACAGCTATGTTAGCATAATATAAACAAGCTAACTTTTTTTCCACTCGATAAAAGTTAACGTGAGTGTTCTCGGTGGTCAGGAACAAATGTAATCGCATGGCAGGATGCTGTAAAAGGACCAAACTTCAGCCAGGAGAACAACTGAGATAATCCATCCACAATACGAGGTTAGTCATTCATATACTGCTGCATGGGCTGGGCTGTAGCTACATCCTAAGGTTTTAAAAACTGAGCTTAAATAAATGATTAGCGGTAATAAAAGCCGAGGGAGGTCAACAGTGATCGCTGACTGTTTTAGGAGCTTTTTGAGATCAAATAGAAGAAAATACAAAACATTAAACATGTTAACAACACAAAAGCCATATTAAACGCAGACTACTTTAGGCCCGGAAGTAGGATTCGTCGCGTCATCACTGAACAACCGGATAGGGGTCTACCTACAATATAAAGCACCTTGAGGTGACTATTGTTGTGATTTGGCGCTATGTAAATAAAATTGAATTTAATTGAATATTTTAATGAACCCTCAAATTGTTTCTTCAATATTGTCATGGTCCACAGCCCGGCGTCCGGGGTGCTGATGGGATGCCCACGCCCGTGGGCGTGGCTGCTAACCCCACACCTGCATCCCATCCCAGGCGATCACCAGGTGGACTATTTAATCCTGCCCTACCTGCTGCTCCACGCCAGTCCGTAGCCGTCGCTCAACGGTAACGCACACCTGCGGGAAAGCCCTTATGAAAACTTATCCGTCTGAACTAACACTACTCTGCCCTGTGTACTCAGATCACAACTCGGCGTGTTGTGAGCCACCTGCCTGTCCGCCTGCCTGTCTGAGATTTGGATCACGATCAGCACCCGCCGCCTCGACCCTTTTGGTTCTGCTTCTGGGTCCAGCTTGTGCGCGGAACCTCGGTTCATGACAAATATTAGATTGTTATCTTCAATTTAGTAGAATTTCAGAAATGTGCAGTAATGTTAACACTTTTGAAAGAGAACTTTTATTCAGTGTCCTTTGTAGTGGACAGAGGAATTACTAACTCTGATTTGTGAATGAGATTTTAAAGGATTTCACTCAGTTTGTAGGCAGGGAGTCAGACGAATAGCTGTCCCGGGATGGTGAAAGGTCAGAGGACACACTGGTATGTTCTGCACTCATCTTCCATTATGTATAAGAAGCAATGTGTAAGCTAGGCCTTGGAGGTTTTTTCATTAGAGTTCAACTCTTTTGAAATTGGGTAGAAAGACTTTTTAATGAGAAAACAGATCAACTACAAACCAGAGGGAGGTGCTCGTCTCTTAAAATTGAAAGCATCATTCAGCATATCTGTATATGTGACATGACTCGGATTATCTTGGGTCCTATTTATAGCCAGGACCCGGTGTATAACTCAGCATCTGGCAGTCAGTCAAAGTCACGAGTCATCTTTATGTCTCGGGTGAGAAAGAAAGAATGTCCTCTGGCTGGTGATGCAACAAGGCTGCATTAATGAGACCAACTAAAACCTTTTTCTGGGTCTCAGAAGGATACAAAGATGAGTACATTACATTTGCACCTGCAATGTAATAAAATATAAGAGAATAATGCCTGTCCCAGTGTGCTTCACATCCACCACCATCATCATAGTCCCAAAGAGGACAGCTGCTACCTGCCTGCATGACTGCTGCCCATGGCGCTCAATCATCATGAAGGTTATTCATGGCACGTCTCTGGATGCTGTGCAATTTGCACTCCAGTCTAACAGATCCACTAAAGAGTTACTGGTAATCTGGCAAGCCCGGTGTGCTGATGTGTCAATATCATTTTTTGGTCGATATAGTTACACAGGCCACAGACTGGATTGAAGGTCTGCTGTGCACTGGCCCTACAAGCACTGACAGCAGCCCATCCATTCATTTTTATCGGTGACACTAGATTACCCAATCAAATCTCTTCATGCAACCAGGCCCTTCCCAACCTTCCCTGTGTGGTGATGCACGTCCTGTGGCTACTTTTGCTACTGCTAGAAAGTAAAGTGCAAAAACTGTCACAAAAGAACAGGAAGCACACTGTGACACTCCATGTCACAATAGCACGGACGCGTTAAAGCAGTGAGTCAAAGAAGCTGATGGGAAACGTTGTATATTCCCACAGGGTGGAGAAACCTACCAGATTCAATCACGAGATGGACGAGAATTTCCATAAAATACAGAGAGGAGGGCATTGTGCCCTGCCCCATAGGACACTGCTAGATATGTGTGTGCCCATGTCAATCAGAAGATGCCTCCATTAATTAAGTTAGAGGGTGTACCATTTCAGTTAGAGCACTGGGGCAGAGAAGGAGGAGGGAGGATGAATGGAGGACAAGGCAGCTTTAAAGTAATGAGATTAAAGCAGCCACAAGAGTAGAGGGCGAAGGTCGAAGGAGCCGACTGTCAGAAAGAACATTCTGAATTAAACAAGCTGGAATGAACATTAGAGGAACTGCTTTGGTGGCAAATCACGTTGCATCAAAGCAGCTGATCAGGTAAAGTTCATGCTCTAAAATGTAAGTGCATACATTTTTGTCTTAACCCCAAAGCTGACTTATTTTTGCATTTCACAGCGTTTGACTAGTTAAGTCAGGCTTTAAATGAAAAACAGAGTTTGGAGGAATTCGAGCAGCGGTATTGGCACAGCTGTACAGTAATTCAGGCTGTGTATTAGTCCCTGCACATGTAATATTGTCACCATCTGACAATGAAACCTAACATCTCACACCACTGACCACGGCACATTCATTCATTACATTAAGTTACACTAACTCCAAATTTAGTCTGAAAGCTGAATCACAGCAAGTTAAAGATGAGAAAAGTGCTTTTAACACTTACCTTCCTGCTGCTCTGCCTTCTGCTTCTCCCTGCTCTCTCTTCATTTGCCACAATGGGAACAGATGGGTCCTTTCTACTCTCCTGCTCGTTTCCTCAAAGCCTGACTCCTAACCCCCACCCCCTACCCCACCCACTGCCACAGCAACATGACAAATGAAGAGTTTCATCTTTGCAGAAATATCTTCCTTCCTCTATCCCGAGATTGTGCCTTGGTTTTTCCCAACTTGTTTTTCCTCCTATCAGTCAGTTATTTGCCCTCAGTACACAATTTATGAACAAAGAAAATCTGATTTGAAAACAATTAGTTGTGGCACAATACTCTGTGAGTGCAGAATGCAACATTTGACTCGTGCAGGATTAGTGATGCACAGTAAAGATGGGTTTAGACACGTGTGTGTGCCTTTGCATGTGTGCAACATCTGCATGTTTATGTGTATCTTCTCTCATGATGACATTTTTACACACAATCCTCTTAACATGAGGATTAAAACAAAACCAAGACAGATTTGTGGCTCCCTCTCGTTCTGCTGCAGCTTTTTCCTTGTGTTTCTTCTTTGTGTTTAATCCACTGAACTGGTGGGAGGGGTGGTCTCATGTTGGCCTCTTTCTTTAAATGCAACTGATATCCTACTGTTCATGTCAATGAAAAAAGCATGAACTGCACTAAGCCATGTTCTCCATATTCTTGTCAATGCTAATGTTATTTCTTCCATTGGTGAGTCCCCTTCATGTGAACCCTGCACCATCCTGCTGGGATCATGAAGCTCAATCTAATCTGGTCTTTCTCTGCTGAGAGAAAAAAGCTGCAACTAGAAACACGTGTAGGACGAATGCAGTGTGTTTTCAGGAAACCTGATTCCTGTTATGTGTGTCTGTAGCAGAACAGGCAGATCCAGTGACGGACTGATGCTCAGGACTGACCGTTCTCTGCTCTTTGACTTCAATTTCTTAGACTGAAGTACATTTGTCACGGGTGTGCTGACACACAGGATGCATAGCCAGCAGTGATGGTGCATGTCATTCATGATGTTCATGAACATCATTAGTGGCCTATCCCTGGTCAAAACCACTAAACGAGTCTACAGATGCCCTCGCTGTAGGGGCCAAATGTTCAGGCCTAACTAGCATTAGTCAAATGCTCATTTCAGGCTCCTTTTGAACCGTCTCATGTAAACTGTTATACTTGCTTTATGCTTTCTGTTGCTTTCTGTGCTCACGTCACAGCAAAGTCAAGCAGTGTTTTCAGTGGGAAACATTAAGTAATTTAAAAAGACAGCTGCTGATGAATTACTGTAACAACTTAACAACAATTTCCATCTCTGTCTTCACCAGAACCTGTTGGTCTTCATGGGTCCTGGGTTATATGTGTGTGTTTGTGTGTGTGTGTCATTTTTCTGGGTATTTAATTATAAAAATTACAGCAAAGACTGAGTGAATCGTCCTCCTGGTGTACAAGTAGAACATGACTCATGAACCAAGAGAACCAAGTCACTCCCTCATCTAACTCATCACTCTTCTGCACTTCCATGGGTTCAACTTCTGCTCGCATCCTCACACACCTCACTAATGCTCAAGGATCGCAGCCATCAATGAGCACATTGAGCAATCTCAACTCAGACAGTATTCCTGTTCAAACACTGGCCAGTCAACCAGTTTTGTGACTGAACGTTCCACCCCAACAGTGAATCCTCTGTCAAAGACCTTTACCTCTCATTATGAGAAAGATAGTAAAATGTTTTACTAATAATTTTTCCCTTTCTTTGTTGAACAAAATGTCCTTCGCTGCTTCTTTTATTGCAATACGATACGATTGGTGTGATGCAAATTTTGTGTAAACTGCAAATAAGAATGCAGTTGCATGTAAGACATGCTTTTCTTACATGCAAATGCATGTAAGACATGCTGAGGAATGCAGTTGTTTATAGGATAGTAACACAGCAGAACAAGAAGATATTTAAACTGAAGTCAACACCGTCAGGAGAGGACAATAACTCACATTCCTAATGGATCCTGTCTCTGTTTTTAATTGTGGACAGCTTCTGGCTTTGAAAAGTTGCCTTGAACCTGCGTTCTTTTTAATTACCAGCAGGGGGTTAGCTACTGTGGCAGCCAAAGAATTTTGCTTGTATAGACCTACAGGGGAAAACAACGCTAAGCTCCTTTATTCTATGATCGCAGTTACTTTCCTGGTGGGCTCATGGCTTCAGTTGCTTGTTTCAAGGGTTACTGAGTACATCATGAAGCTGATTTTGTAAAATATGGTCTCCTTTAGCTGCTACAGTATATGAGAGTGAACTGTCTGTGATATCCACGTCTAAAAAGCTAAGATTACAGTACAACAACTGTTCTAGTCCTGGTTAGTTACAGCATATGGTACTCCAGCTTAAAACACTTTTGCAGTCAGAAACATTACCATATATATTTCCATACAGGGATAAACATGTGGATAATTTACAAAGAAAGTCAGATTTTAAACTTTTTATTCCTTGTGTGTTTTTGTTCACTGTTTAAGGGGTAAATGAAAATAAAACTGCTCCTCAGTCACCATGACAACAGCCTATTTCCCGATAAATGCAGCTGCTGGGAGGTGTCAAAGGTCACTCTGGGGTAATGGGTGATGGATGATGGGTGGGGGGATCTTGGTAAATATGTGAATGGGGCTGTGTGTGGTTCATCTTGCTTTACCCGTAGTGACAGAAATGGCCCTTTTTGGTGTGCATGGTGTCTCTGTTAACTTGTCTGAATGAGCCTTTCTGAAGCGCTGCACACATGGGATCGCTCTGAGCACATCTGTGTTGCAGTGGGACTGATGTTCTGAAGGCCATGTGGTTATTTTGAAGCTCAAGTTGTTAAAAGACAATATATTGTTTCAGTATCCATGATTTTAACAGACATGAAGTCAGGGTGTCCGCAGCTGATTACCTTATGATGGAATATGCCATTGGCCTGAGGTCAGGCTGCACTGTATGGCGCTAACAATGGCCAGCCTGGTCCTGATGGAGCTGACCTGGTGATCTGATGATGGCAAACCCCAAACAGAGCTGTGGGTGGAGGAGAGGTCATGACCACAAAGAAGGCAGTGTGAAGAGTGATTACTAATGTAGATGTCAGAACTGAGATCATCAGACTTTATGAAACTCACAACAAAGTTAACTTGATATTTCATGTAAATCTTTCTTAAATTCATAACAGGATAAAATCCTTACTTGGTTCAACAATGACACTGCTGTCAGCTGGAATAGTACAATAGCACATGCTGTATTGCCAGTTTTGAATGCATTTGGCTACGGATGCATTTTCTGTTGCCCTGAGTGTTCTCTCTGTTCCAGTAAAGGTGATGATGGTGATGAAAACTACGGGAACCTTTTTCTGACAAATCATTTGGTTCTGAATTTCTTACACAGGTGGATCTCATGATATGTAAAGTGGGCAGTGGTGTGGTTGTCCATACTGCTGACTCAGAGCAAGAAGATTCTGGGTTTTGCTCCATTCTCCATGCCCTCTCTGTGCCGAGTGGTGCATGGATTCTCTCCGTCTTCCTCCAGCAGTCCAAAGACATGCATGAGTTTGGTTAATCGGTGATCCCCCCCACTTAGAATAAATGGATGGTAGGAAAGAAGTCTCAAAGGAATTGGATTGAGCAGCCAGAACACAATGACAAAAATATAATTGTTCTTTACAACCTAAAATCGTCTTTAAAATATGGGAAACGGGGATATGTCATCTAACTGAAACAGTCACTTCCTGCACTTTGTATTTTGTCTCAGACATCGATTAAAATATATACTTTAAAATAAATAATTAACTTAATTTTACTTTGAGATCTTCCTGCTTTTGTTTTGAACATCATACTAACAGTGCTTTCAAACACAGAGTAACTAGTGCATTTGGCAAACTAGTAGCTTAACCATGAAACGAGATATATATTACTAATTGCTACTTTTTTAAAATGAGAAAATTTGACTCGGACACAGAATCCAACAGTCAATTTATGAATTTATTAAAAACAAAAAAACAAAAAAAACGTTGGAGATGCCGGGGATTGAACCCGGGGCCTCATACATGCAAAGCATGCGCTCTACCACTGAGCTACATCCCCACACGAGCGGAGGCTCACACCGTAGCCTATATAAACATGGCACGTTTCGTACTATTATACTCTCAACGTAAGCATAGATTGTCAGTGGCAACATTCCGTACCGTCACTTAGAAGGACTTACACAGGCTACCTTGAAGCACACGTTTCCTTAACCATACTGCGAACTACGAAACACGTGACACTAAAAATGTGCTGCCTACTAAAACTTGGGCTAAGGTTTATTTCTCATGCTAAACCTGAAATATTACATAAAGAGATAGTAAGACTTTCGATTGCTACTATTTATTTTATTGTTCTGTGGGTTCCTGTCATAGACCGGTTCGCCCGAGGCTGTGAACGCCATGACACGGCCAACAGGTGTCGCTGTTGGCCGTGCGTGCCTACAACACGTCAGATTGTGCTCTCGGAGAATTTCACAGCGTTTTGTCAGGAACTGTCATCATGCCACCGTGTAACAACGTTTTCAACATGCGGAAAAGCATGAAAGCGGACACGCGTAGATGCTTGGCTTTGACGTAGGCTAGAATCACAGTTGTGACCAGACACTAAGCGTTTCTTCTAACTTACCTGCATTTACCTGGTCCGCTCACATCCACCTGTTGTCCCATCGGCGGCAAGTAGGCACACAAAGACGGTGGGACTGTGAGTGAGGAATGAGATGAGGTTTTACCCCTATAAGTTAGCATGTCTCTTGGCGTTCGGGTGTTTTGTGTCGGTTACTTGGATTAAATCGATTCCCAGTGATGAAGGTGAGTGTACCTGCTTTTAACTGTATGTAACTGTAACTTCGGTCGTTGCTGTGCTTTTTGGAAGTCGAATTTCCCAGAGGAACCCACCCGAGGGATTAATAAAGTTCTATCTTATCTTATCTTATCTTATCTTTTACTTTTCACATGCTGACTCAAACGGAAACTTTATACTCATCTGCTGTTTATTCTCATGGAAACAGAAAATACCGCA